AATAATTATAAATTGACTACATAGAAAGGTAAATTGATAACTCTATTACTAGTGTATAGGGCAAAAGATCGTTTAGCTAGTTTAACTGTAGGTACGTGTACTTTGCCTTTAAAAAGTTTTGATAAACTATGCAAACTAAATTGGGTCATAAAACAATGATTTTAGGGATCAAGATAGAAAAATAGTAGAGATGTACTGACTACGACTTAGGCCGACTAGCCGACTAGTCGGCTGTAAAGAGGCCAACTAGTCGGCCAAGCCGATCATTGTTTTGGGGAATTTCCCTGATGCTTCGTTTACCGCTCATTCGCGCTCAAGTCGCAGCCGCCGCCCGCGAACGTGTTAGAATCTGTTTTGTTTACTTTGCATTGTTTCTTGAATTTTGCTGTTGTGCGGGTCGGAGCGGTGTTTTTGTGTAAAAATATTTGTTTGTAAAGTTAATAGTGTTATTGTTCATTAAAATGTAAATTTTAATTAAAATTTAATAATGTCAAAAAGAAAGTCTCGTATATAGATTTTTTTTGAACAATTGGGCAATGATTCCCGCAAAGTGATAAATGATGCCAAATGATAATTTCTCGTGACGGTCATGGGAATACAGGTAATACTACAAGTATGAACAGCCATATTAAATACTGACATCCAAGCCTGATACCTCAGTTAAGTTCTTCGATAAAATGTTCGACCACAGACGATTTCTCGCAGTCGCAAATCCAAGCAGAACTACCTTCAACAGTACCTATTCCGTCAACTTCAATTCAAAATATTTTATTTAGCATTAAATTATTACAATTTTTTACTGAACGTCATGAGTCCACTACCAGTTCGGAAAGAAGAAGCCTCAGACCTGAGAAGAACTGGCGAAAGAAACTCAGCGGGACTAATATTAACTTGTTATCTTTTTTTAAAGTAAAATTATAATTTACAATATTTCTATCAAGTTGAAGTAGCCTGGAGGCGATCATTTCATTCCCAAGGTATGCCATCTTCTATAAAACCATTTATTGTATTGCCTTTAGCTCACAAATGTTCTTTAACATTTTTTTTGAATTTGGCGATAGAAGCCTTTTGGACATTTTCTGGGATCCTGTTGTACAAGCGTATACATTGTCCATAAAAAGAATTGCTGACTCTGTGTAGACGAGTCACAGGCATTACAAGTTTGTGTTTGCTCCTAATATTAATGTTATGCATGTCACACTTCTTGGGAAATTCGTGTATATTTTTACGGACATACACAAAATTTTCGTACACGTACTGAGAAGCAACAGTCAATATTTTTATTTCTTTAAACTTATCTCTTAATGACACTCTAGCACCTAAGCCATAAATTAATTATTTTAATTTTAAATTATTTTTATTTCAAAAAATAAAGTATTTTTAACTAAACTTTTTATCCGAATGCGGATTTTGTATACTATTAAATTTAACAATAAAGCTTTACGTACCTCTTAGTCGAGGCGCAAATATTTTTCAATCTCAAATTTATAATGGTGGTATGTGACCCTTATAAATTTGAGATTGTAGGTGACTTATACTATAATATATTTAATTTATCATATTTATATATTAAACTTTCCATTCAATATATTATAATATTTATATTTTATTAAATATTTAATTTACGTATTTATATCATCTACGCACCTGCCATAATTATTTATATTTATTAATTATTCATATATATTAAATCCACAAGCACAGCCGCGTGAAACCCGTAGTATGCGGAAGATCGGAATTTGTTTTACTCCTACCGGCCACTTGTAACTTTTTACATAAAATAATAATTGTTTGTACTGAAACTCTTTGTGTATTTCCTTAAACTTTCCTTCTGTACTGTTTTTAAGTGTGTGTTGAATTTTTCATTGTAATTTTATTAGTGACGTAATCTTTTATTTGTGCTTTTTCGTCACTCAACAACCACCAAAGAGATTTTTAAAATAAATCTACTAATAATATTTTTTAAATAAAAAATATAATATTTGAAATCACAAAACTGGAAATAAACTCAAGTAGGCAGATGAAATTAAACTAATGACATTATCCCGCGGTAAAAAGTATCCTATATGTTTACCCGGATAACCAGCTATCATCATACCAAATTTAATCAAAATCTATCCAGCGGTTTTCCCGTGATGCTGTAACAGACAGACAGACAGACAAAAATTCTAAAAACTATAGATTCGGCCTCTGTATCGATAATAATAATGTTTATTTCAATAAGATTTTCCAAATAATATTGAATATACAGATTTGGCTTAGTTACGATTTTATTATATGTATAGATAAAAATAACAATAACTATACCTTCATAGAACTTAATTTTTACATTAAACTTTACTACACATTTATCTGTCTGCGAGCGATTATTCTCTGCACGCACACATACAAAAATACTTGTGTTCATAAACAATACATGCATAAATTCATCGTAAAAAACAGGAGACAAAAAGTGACACAGCCCTCCCGTCTGAGCGCCAGCGCGCGACTGCCGCGCGCGCCCGCGCAGAGCACCTCTATAGCTTCTAGGCTTGTAAATAGCATTTTCGACTTTTAAAATAGGAAAATAGTAATTGATTTACAATTTTTTCTAATGGGCATAAAGTAAAATAGATATATTATTTTTTAGTATTTAAATGATTCCAAAATTCTTAGCCGTTTAGAAACAGTACGAAAGGCAAGTCAAAAAAATACCATTTCTTTAAAATAAAAAACTAATAGATATTTTCGTCACACGAAAAAAAATTTACTTGAAAATATTGTTTAAGAGTTGATGATTCACATATATTTTTTTCAAGCATTTCGGTCAAGCCATAAACGAGAAGTACGCTTTAGAAAGTAGCTCTTTGCTAGCCCTTGAGGGTTCTAATCGCCTTAACTGTTTTTTGCGTGGGCCTTACCATCATCTATTTTAAAACATTCTTACTTCAAGACTGTTTTGTTTCAAGATTACAATAATCTTACTTTTATTCGTACCCATGACCTTTAAAAAGCAAGCTTGTTTTAAAATTGCTTAGTGATGCAACAAAAGGAATGATTTGTCTATTTCCTCCTATAAAAGAAAAGAAATATGTAGCGCTATATAAGTGGTATAGCGTTATCCTTGTCACACTGATAGTCGTTCGTAAATATGATTAGTACTTACCTAGGATAAAATTAAAGAAAAATATTATATTATTTAATTTCGAAAGTACCTACATGTTTACCAAACAAAGTGCGCAATCTATGTCTTTTTTATACTATTTATACAAATAATTTTAGTTTAGTTTTAAAAATTAGGAAAACTATTAGAAAAGAAAATAAAATAAATTATGGCTAGATTGTGTCACAAAATTCGGAACAAATTATTTAGGTACTTGACAACCGCCTGACTATTTCTTTACTTGTTATTTGACAACGAGCGAAAATTAAAAGTCAATGAGATGATAGTTTGTATAGGAGAACTTTTAGATTAGAATAAAACAAGTTGAACTTATTTTATTAGCAATATTTTATACTATATGAATGAACAATAAGAAACAAGGTAGGGTGTACCTACTTATACCTTTTATTCATTAAAATTTTTTTTTAATCCATGAAATACTAGCCTACATTGTTTCACGTGGTTTTAATGTTTTTCTATTCTTAACTTTTGCAGCTGAAGAGATAATTGGGTTTATACCTACAATACGTCAACAACTGGCTATTCAAATGATATTGTGAATTCACAAAGTATTTTGCAATAAACCGACAGAGTCGTGAAAAAGTCGAGAAATTTTAATAATAATTATATAAGCATTATATATAATGTTTCAGCTAGGCAACCACAAAAAAAAATAGATGCTGTTTTTTTAGGATTTTAAGTGCTGCTTATCCCTGAATCAGTGGAGAAAAAATCTCCACCTAATTCTGCTGCTGATCAAGGATGTACTATGTGGTTGATTACTGCTATGGGGCCGTAATTGAGTTTCCTTTATTACATATTTTTTTATTTTATAAAAATAAATATATTATTATAAATACACAGTTATTATAATTTTTGTAAGTTCTTTTAGAGTTTCATATCTAAGGGGCCTATATTATACGTACTATAGAAAAAAATCTTTCCATTAAACTTCTTATATAACTTTTGGATAATATTATAAAAAGTGATATAGTAATATTATAAATGAAAGTAATTCTATTTGTCTGCTTTTTATTCCGTCTATTATAACTTTTATATGTTACGTATTCACACATATACCTTGATATTTTGTAATGAACGCTTAATAGTGAGGCGAGTAGGGAGACGAAAGTTCGAAAGGGAAAGACTAAAAGTAAAAGTACTTAAGGAATTACTAAACTACAAACACGGTTTGTATAGGTGTTTTTCTTTACTATATTTTCTTCGCATGTGTAAATTCTCAGCAGAGTCTCGTTGCAGAGTTTGTTTTATATTTTTTATAATAGGTACCTAATGCTTAGTAAATTCTTCTAAATTGATGTCGCAAAGGTCACATTCGAAATATAGCTGAAAACGAGATTTCGGTGCTACAAGCTTCTGTGTTATAAGCTTTTAAAAACATAAGTATTTCGAAATTATTACACTTCTAGAATCAAAGTATAAATTAATTACCGAAGTACTAAAATTACATGATACGTGTATCAATCGACAGATTTACGAAAATAATGGATTTTACTTAATTTATCTAGCACAATCAATTACCTTTTATTTTATAAATTTTGAAAATAATACATCCCGCCAATCCGCACTTGGCCAGCGTGGTGGACTATGGCCTGATCCCCCTCGTATTTAAGGGAGGCCCGTGCCCAGCAGTGGGACGTAAAAAGGGTTGAATAAAATAAATCCATAATAATCCGTCGCGTATCAACAACTCTTACAAGATTGCTAATAATTATGACAGAAAAGTAAGAATGTTTTTTGTCAAAGTTCACCTCATGGTATAACTTGAATGAACGATATTAGCATTTTCTTAGTAATTTTGATGTCGTGACGTCACAAAACTGCTAAGAAAGTAAGAATGTTCCAAGCTTTAAGACGTCATGGTACGAAAACTCAAAGTAAGATTATAGTATTCATGCTATTAGAGTTCATGGTAAGGCCCAAGACTGGTTGCGAAGAGGTTGCGGCCAAGTGGGCAACGGCAGCTATTACTTTTCAAGATTTCTACGTATATTTCTGTTAAGTAGAGTATAATTCATTTTAATAACAAATGCATCGTTTTTGTTCCAAACAGTCAATTCTCATTTACTTAATTAAACATACTAGCGGGCACATTTTAAGAGGCACCCTGGTCAAAACATATTGTCTCTTTTATTATTGTATATAAAAAAATGATATTGATTAAATACGCTATGAACGTAGCAATCTTGCAGCGGGATTTTAATCCATTACCAAATTTCATCTAAATCCAGAGATTATCCCCTACAACGTCACAAACTCACAAACTTTACCTCTTTATAATGTTAGTATAGATTTATTTGAACTTTTTTGTGTACTTAGTAAGACCCCATGCTTATATTTACCATGTAGGACTATATAAAATATTAAAACTTGTCACGATATTTTCCTATGTAAACAATATTTTTTTACATAGGAAAAAAGTACATGGCAATATAAAATATTTAGAGTTGGTGTAGCAAGATTTATACTCGCGATAAGCTTTTATGACACATAAAGTAAACAAAACTACGGGTTTGATTTATTTCAAGGTTTATGTTCTTCTTTTTAGCACGGTTTTTTTACTATTAACAGTAAAAAACGTTTTTAAAATTATGTTATTTATCTTTTTTTTGTTTGAGGCTATTAGTGTCTCCGATGGCCTTGCGTGTCTGGGCGGGGCTTAGCGCACTACACCCGCGCACTCCGCAATATAGCATCAAAAAATCCACGCGCTAGTTCATCAAACAAGCCACGGGATAGTTTATTGCCGACGAGCGATACAATCCGAAAAGAGTCAAAGAGATGCAATGCTAGAATTATCGTACGGGTATTATATAAGTAATATAATTAATTATATATAATTTCAATCACACTCCTCAGCAAAATGGTCTCAGCGAACGTGTGAATAGAACTTTGATAGAGCGTGCTAAATGTATGATTTTTAATGCTGAATTACAGAATACATTCTGGGCTGAAGCAGTAGCCACAGCCGCCTATATATTAAAACGCTCACCAACTCGTGCTTTGTCCGCAGTCACTCCATATGAAGTTTGGACTGGACAAAAGCCTAATTTGAGTCACATAAGAATTTTTGGATATCATGCAATGGTACACGTTCCCAAAGAAAATAGAACAAAATTAGAGGTTAAGGCCACGGAAGTTGATTTTCGTAGGTTACAGTGAATGTACTAAAGGCTATCGGTTTATAGACCCTGAAACAAAAAAGGGAATTATAAGTAGAGATGTTACGTTTTTAAAAGCTACTGTAAAGAAAAATAAAGTAGATAAAATACAAAAAGAAAAGGATATTAAGGAAAAACTAACTTGTTCAGGTAAAAATGAAAATAAAAGAAACAATAATTTAGTTATCAAAAGTAAAATATTAAACTTACCTTTATTTCAAGATCTAAATAAATCTGAAACTGATAACAGAGATGAAATAAGTGAAACGCAACATAGTTCTGATAGTTCTTCAGATGACTCCGCTCTGTTTGAAGATGTTCATGATGAAACATACCTACCTAATGAAACGCTGGAAACTCAGCCACAGAGCAGAATGACTTTGAGACCACTTCAACATCGTATAGAGAAGAATCAGATTAATAATATGAACCATGAGTTTATTAAATAAATATCCACAGAATCTTGTAGAAGGTCTTAACAGTATTAAAGCTAATATATTATATTATTAAAACAAAAACAGATGAAAATGAATTTATAACGCCTTATAAAGCTAGAATGGTAATGAAAGGATAAAAAACAAATAAGAGGCATTGATTACGAAATTTTCATTTCCTAATGGACTTGACTTTAAAGCGTTTGCGTCCAGGAGAGGATGATGAAAGTATGGACGCCTTCACGCTTTAATACAAGAACTATATGATATTAGTGTCACTTGTCATTAGCTTTTACATATATTATAATGTCAATTAATTATTCTTTAATAAATATGTTTTCTAAAACCTTATTTATGCCTTTGATATCATTTCATCAATTTTAATAAGATTTTCCAAAAAATATTTTATGTACACATTCGGTTTAGTTACAATTTTATTATATGTATAGAATAGCGACTCACCCTCGCTCCGCTCGGATTCATCCCTACTTAAGTTTTAACGTTCAGCATAGATTTCTCACAGATGGGATATTTTCCCGCAGTAAAAAGTATCCTATATGTTGACCCAGCTAACCAGATAACATCATACCAAATTTCATCAAAATTCCTCCTGTGGTTTTTCCTTGATGCGGTAACAGATAGACAGACAAAAATTCTAAAAACTATAGATTCGGCCTCCGTATCAGTACTCCGTACAGTCCAAGACTCTATTGAAAGTAGAAGATAGGGCTGTATAGCACAGCCCACCACACAACTTTTTGTAAGAAGTTTCCTACTATTTCTGACCATTTTAGGAAGAAGTAATAAGTAAATATTCTAAGGCCTAAGCTCAACATTTAGGTACAGTAGTCGTAAATCGTAGAATCTAGAGCTCATCGTTCATGAAGCAGGATGAGAAAGTTAGCAGTACTACAATTTTCACTAGTTTTGATAATTGTCTGTCAGTTCTTGCTATCACATCCTTAAAATATATTCCTTATAAAAATACTACACATTATGTATATACATATACATATAATTAATTACTTAATATTTAAGCTTCCGTAATTTAGTTTAAGTTAGTTATAGCAATTTTTGTATAAAAAGTTATTGCTGTTAAACTTAATCAGGCGCTTCGTTATATATTATCTCTGTTTTGCACAGTTATGTCAATTGCTATTAAAGCCCCTAACTGACCGGTTGATTTTTATTTTATCATCGCCACATTACACGTGATTATTACCAAATTAATTTATATACCTCTACTTCTCACCATGGTTCATTACGAGACGGATAAAATAGAGGAAATATTTAAACAATATTAAAAATAATTAAAAAGTGACCAAGTGCCGTATAGTATAGTAGCAGAATAGTATTTATCATTATATTTATTAATAAAACTCACATGTCTACAAATTAAACATTAAATCAGGCAATTAAAGCACGTTAAGCACGTGCGACATTGGGCAAGGTCAGTAAGTTGAAACTTTTAAAACTTTATTACAAATATCTACAAATGTTATTTAAACGATATATTAACAATAAATTTGATAAAATATAATAAATATTAGGTATAGTTTATCAGTACTTAAATAATACAGTACAGTAACTTTATAAATGTTACATTAAATAACTGTTCCTAGTATAAGTATTTTTACAAAATACATTTTAATGATATTATATAAACTTCAAATATATTTTATTAATTTTATATATTCAGTGTAGATATTAAAATTTACGTACAGTTATAAAGTAACAGTTCAGCAAATAATTTATTTGTGAGCTTTAGAAATACATATCTAAGTTAAATCGAAAATTATTGTTCGATAAAATCATTTAATCAATTATCAGTAAAACAAGTTATCATTTTTATTTTGGTTGTGATTCATCTATACTATAATAAAACAGTAGAGGTTGAATGTCTGTACATAGCAAAAAAATGCTAAAAACCGAGTCAGGAGGATGTAAGAAGACAAATAGAACAAATGCAGATTTTATTCATTTTTTTTGTTTCTCTGTCTGTTTGTCTGTTTGTACGGGCTAATCTCCCAATCTATTGGGCCGTATTAAATAAAATTTTGCATGGTGGTATTTTATATCCCCTGGCAACATCTTAGATACTTTTTATCTCGGAAAATTAAAGAGTTCCCGTGGGATAATTGAAAAACTATAGTAACTTATATAGCTTAGTACACAACAACTTATGCACCTAATTTAGTAAAATTTCGGTATGCTGATACCTTATATTGCCGGTCAAACAACAGGTTACTTTTCATCCCAGAAAAATGAACGGTCTCCGTTGGATATATCTGTTTTTGTTTGTTTGTAACGTCTTATGTACACAATATAGACCCCAAAACAATAGTTATTAAAAAAAAGTCTGTTAGTCTGTTTGCCTGTGTGCCTGTTTGTACGGGCTAATCTCCGAAACTGTTGGACCGATTTAAATGAAATTTTTGCATGGTGGTACCTTATATCCCCGGTCAACATCTCAGATACTTTTTATCCCAGAAAATTGAGAGAGTTCCCGTGGGATAGTTAAAAAATTATAGTATTTTATACAGCTTAGTACATAACAACTTATGCACCTAATTTAGTAAAATTTAACATTCTGATATATTGCCGGTCAAACAACAGGTTACTTTTCATCCCGCAAAAATGAGCGGTTCCCGTGGGAACTAATAGATCTCTATAAGTTTTTTTCTAGAGGCGAACCCGAGCGAAGCGAGGGTGAGCCGCTAGTTAGTTACTATATCTCTAATACCTTTGTAAAATTTCAGGTCGACATCATCTGTATCCCAAAATTACTGACATTAAGGAGCTTAAAAGAAGCGTGGCAGTTATAAATGTAGATTAACTGTTTTTGAAAATTATTTAGGTACTTTAAATGATGCCGAACTAACCGCCTGTCAGGCAATAGAGTTACAATTACGAATAGATAAGTTAGAGAGCTTATACAATGAGTTTAATGAAGTTCAATCACAATTAGAATGCTTAACGGATAAAATTGACATTGAATTAGTTGAACGAACCGCTGTAAAATCACAATATTATTCATTATTAGCTCAGGCTAAAAATCTTATCAATATATATTCAAAATTAGAACAAGATGACGTAAAATCAACTTCTAGTAACTCTAAGCAACAGTTAGTCTAATTGCCTACTATTGATTTACCTAAATTCTCAGGTTCGTATGATAACTTTTCTAGTCTCATTCACAACAATGACAACATAGAGGAAATTAATAAATTTCACTATTTAAGGTCATCACTGGAAGGGTCCGCTGCTGTCGTAATACAATCTATCCAGTTTTCTGCTCAAAATTATACCATAGCCTGGGAACTTCTGTGTGACAGATTCAACAACAAACGGTTACTCATTCACAATCATGTGTCAGCTCTGTTCAAGCTCGAACCAATAACTAAGGAGTCTTTAATATCACTAAAACTAATGATTGATCAAGTAAATAAAAATATTAGGTCTTTAAATACAATAGGCAAACCGGTTCATAGCTGGCTGTCCGACACATTAATAATATATGTATAAAATAAGTTCAAAATTAGATTCTACAACATTAAGAGAATGGGAGGAATATAAAGGGCATTTAGACAAAAATAAGTTAATCTCTTTTGAAAATTTTATAGAATTCTTGAGAAACCTTGTTGATTTAATAGAAACTTTTGAAATATCACGTCATTCTCCCACAAATAAGGAAAGTACAAATAAAAATTTAAAACTATAACTTTAGTTTCCACTTTGAATTATTCTAACAATGTCAATAATACAATATATAAACATAGATACTAGTATAGTATATGATCTGTGATATAGAAATCTGTCTCGGACACCCTACGATAGGTAGGTTTTGAGGCAAGTTTTAGGGTGTCAAAGTGAAGGCTTATACAAGTTTATAGCTGACTATCTCCAATTCCGAAGTGAAACCCCTAATTTGACTGGACTATTAAGAATAAATATGCAATGAAGATCTATTGAAACTCAAGCCAACTAAGTCTATAAACTATATTTAGCTTTCCATCCGTGTGGTATCGGTGTTAATATGTCAGTTAGGACAAGCAAGTTTACATTTTAATATGAATAATGCCTAGAAACTCGTTTTGTTAATGGTATAAATTGAATCTTAACGGTATTATTATATTATAGTATTCGAAAATTGATACAAAGCTACATAAAACTTAAGAATGAGCTAATATGACATCCTTCTTGCTAAGTAGGTATATTTGTTTTAGGAAACTGTGATTATAAAAATTATAAATGATTTCGTTTTACTCTATGAACTTAATTTTAGTATGTCAAACTGATATAGGAATAAAATATTAATTCATTATTAAAAAAATTGAACGCCATCTTGTAAATAAAACTTCGTCAAATGTTGTAAGTGTTTTTTACTAGATGGCATCACCTTTTGCTATATCATAGTATTACAACCACGTTTGTATATCAAGTTTACTTGTGTATTAAGAGATGGCATCCTTTTCTTTATAATCCATACTAATATTATAAATGTAAAAGTATCTTTGTTTGTCCTTCTTTCACGTCAAAGGGGAGTAACGAATTGACGTGATTTTTTAAGTGGAGATTGTTGGAGGGCTGGAGAGTGACATCATATATATATAGAGTATTTATTTCGAAACAAATTAAATTATTTCAATAAACATATATAGATATAGTTAAATACAAGAATTATTCGAATTTAAATTACAGCGTTAATGAATGGAACCTTGCGAGCTTTTTTCGACGAATGATGATGATGATAATGATGATTTCACTGAACATTAATGCTTTTTTTATTATACCTAGATAGAAGTCTTAAATAATTAGCCCTTAAAATGATCAGATAAATTATATATAGACTTAATGTAAGCATAAATGACCTATGATAAAGTTACTTTTTAAGTAAAAGAATATACATCATTTTAACCATTTCGCTGTCTCATGAGTCATATATGAACATTTCGATTGTTTAACTATTGTGTCTATTTTGCGGACAGTTAAGTATAAAATTTTTTTATACT